CGAAGACCGCAACAGCCTTCAAAACAGGATACCTTCAATCCAAATCAATGCAGCTCTAAGCCACACACGTAGGTCGCTTCTGCCAGCTACCTTCTTTTCAATCCCGCGCCATGCGATGCAATGAAAGCAAATACGGCCGAAGGGTTCCCTTAGGGATTCGAGCCCCATGCAAGCGATCATGCTGTCCATGACCTCAAAAGCTCACACGGTACACCTGGCACAAGATGGTTGGACATGTCTGGGAGTCGGAATCAACAAAGAAAGCTAGCCAGACTCGCAGGCTGCCTATAGAAACCTCTGGAAACAACCTATGGGTTGCCTGCCAACTTCCTTGCGGTAGGTCTTGTGCAATCAAAACACTGTGAACGCTGAGTAAAACAAGCCCATTGAATAAAACCATGCATTTAGAAAACATCTTCCAACACACTCTATCCTGCAAGGAAACGCTATAGTGTATCGACTTCCTGGTTTGCTCATCACCTTCTATCTGGTAATTGAAAAAAACACGTCTCGACTTCAACAACTGGCAGTAAATACTCCAAAACAAACAGGCATCGGATTGTATTTTGCTATAAATTGCCTTGGGTTGCACATCTCCCCGAACAGCTGATGCAGCCCAAGTTCCACGAGTTTCGGTTGCCGTTCGTCTTGACACCGGGTTTCTTGCCGCAGCCAGCGCATTTCACCAACGACTGCATTTTGCCAGCTTCACCGTTCAAGCATGCTCCACCTTGGAGTGGGGATGGCCCTCAAACACCTGTTTGCGGCATTACATCTGCACTTTCATGTGTTCATGAACGGTCCAGATTCAATGGATGATGCACATCTGAGGGGTTGCAGCCACACTGATTCACAGACAGGATGGCGGTGGTCCCGGTGCATTTCCGTCCCAACTCCTCCAGGCCCGTCGGCCAAAGGGCAATAGTGCACTCCACAATGCAAGCAGGTGAGGTTGGTCGAAGGGCCTGAACTCGTGCAGTACCTCACCGCTGACATCAGCGAATAGGCAAAGCAGTACATATTTTGGTACAAATTATCGTATATTTTATGTGATACAACAATACGCCACTCAATGCACCTCTGCCAACTTGATCCAACTTGCACATTTGAAATTAAAAGGCCCCAATCCGATATGAAACCTGAAAGGGTCGCTCACATGTTTCAGCAATTTTGTTCACGCCTCTATCATTGAAGGGGGTCTTGCTGGCATTTCGGCTGCGACATCCGCCTGAGCTCCGCACCATTTGCACATTGCGGGCGTCTGAACTACGTCGCTGATTGTAGCTGTCACGATGTTGTGCTATAATGCTTGGGCCAAAATGGTGGCAGTTGAGCAACATTGACCAAACAAAAATGTCAAACAATTGACAGGTGTGTCATTGCGGTCCAAGAACATGGAGTGAAAAAACAAACGCGCCAAATGTATGCAACATATTTGTGCACAAGGCTCAGCTGAAATGCTGCACCCTGTCTTTACATCCAATTTTTTGTCCAGTGCCGAATGCCTCCACCAACAGGGTGGACAACCAGTACCCAACAAAACCACAGATGCAAAAAAATTATGCCACCTCTCACCACCAAGCTTACTGAGCACATGCAGACAGACGCAAGAGAAGGCGCAGCATTGCGCCGCCTGCAACAACAGACAGGCAAGCTTCAACAACAAGAGAACGAGCTTCAACGTGCACGAAACAAGTTTCGCACACACGGCATCTCGCTCACTCCTGCCAAGCCGCCAGGCTCCACGCCTCCACCACCACCCGCAGCTTCCACTCTCCCACGTGTCACAAAGGAACAACTGCAAGAATCAGCCACCCGATACGGCTGTCCTGAAATTTCGCCCCTAAGCTTTGCAGCACCTTGTAGCAGAGGGTTCCGCCCTCGCAACCTGACAAACTACTACAATTGTTTTCCATTCTACACATTTTACAATTTTTACATAGAAAGTTTTTCTCGACCCAATGCATTCTACGTCAAACAACCAACCACCACTACCATCAGCATGGCACAAAGAGAATACAACAGACACGCTAAACCCAGACAACTCACACACAACCACCCCATCTCAATTAGTTACGCTACTGGCATTCCCAAGGTACCCAGCATCAATAGAGCACCCTATACCTCTCCCACCACGACACTTACGATCAAACTTGGACACATGAACACTCCATTGGCCTTACGTCCACAAACATTTTGCACCTGAAAGCCTCAGGCTAGCAGCTTACCAAACATGGCCCCTACCTTCTGGGTAGGGAGAAGTGGTCCCCACCTAAAATAATAACAAATTATTTTGAAGATGTCCCACACCCACCTCATCCTAATTATTTCCACGGGTCCACACCCCCTAAAATCATTACAGCCAGCGCTGATAGTTTGCTTGCTAAGAGGGGGACCCCCCCCCCTGTCTTGTGGGAGCTTACGAGAGGGGACCGGTCCCCTAGTTGATCACGCAGTGAACTTGGAAGTCAAATGCGTTCACAAGCATTCATAAGCTATGCTTAAAAAAACAAAAGGGAACCAAGAGCAAGAAATAGAAAGAACAGTGAGGGGTGGGGTGGCCCCTTGGGCTACCCCCTCACTGTAAAATTCCAATGGTTATCTCCTACACGGAAGGCTTCCGACCAAATTATTTGAGGGCTGGGGTACCCCCTGGGCTACCCCCCCCACTGTAAAATTCCAATTGTTATCTCCTACACGGAAGGTTTCCGAAATTATTTGAGGGGTGGGGTACCCCCTGGGCCACCCCCCTCACAGCAAAATCGGGTCCCCTCACCACCCAACCATATTATGTGGTGCGTATCCACGGGCTACCCCCACCCTCTAAATAAATAATAATAATAAATAGGTTTTCTTATGTGTTCCTGATAAGCTTGCATGTTCTATCAAAATGTCAAATGAGTCTCTAAGCTTTGCTTTGACATTGACGTTCAACCCCATCTTTAAAAAACTGCAAAAAAACGCACCTCTCTTGCGATCACCTTTCTCTTCAACATTATTCCATTTTCCTCAACTTATTGAAAATATTTTTTGGCCTTGTAGGGGTGATAGTTGCGAAGGAAAAACTGTCTGTCTCTTCCAGTTGAGGTACGCTTTAAAGGATAACTATTTTTGGATACCTAGACCCTGTTTTAAGCAAATACCAGGGTCCCCACCACCCACCCCCCTTTCTCAAATAGTTTAAAAAAATATTTCTGGGAAACGATTTTGAGACGTGACGGTATACCTCAAAATAGTTCTCAAGGGAGGGGCTATACCAAACACCGCACCCATTTCACACGCATGCCTACTCATAAACGTCTGTTCCAACGACTGGGAAGCCGACATCGCACTACACACCAACCCACCGGAAAAAAAAAAAAAATTCTCCACACCTCCCAGGGACTTCATGCACTTACAGCCCTGCGGGAAATCAGCAAACACACACGCCCCTCTTTTGAAACAGCCGCTGTTATTCGCATCGTCGATATACCCACCTTGAAGTCTACGGACTCAGATGGGTGGCAGCCAGTTTAAAGAGCCGGACAGCTCATGCGTTTTGCGCCTTATCCACCCAGAGAACAACAAACCTTTCACTATACCTTTTCTCGCCCACTTCAACTTCCACAGCGACCCCCTGAGAAATGGCTACGCACCCTTGTCAAACACCTTTTCCACCACCACCCGCCCACCGGACGCATTCGTGAAGCCGCGCACAAAACACAGTTGCACAACCACAAACAATGGGAAGAACACACCTCCTCACAACCCACCGCTCAAGACATGCCATGCAGCTGCCAACACATGCATACCCTGCTACGGGATCCAGGGCAAACGCCACTCCACGATGGACTGTTACCACCACACCTCCACAGTTTCCTACAAACCAAAATGAACTGCACTTACTTCTCCACAAATACCCAATACCTTCAACACGTCACCATGGCGATTACACAAAGGCTCTGCCATCACGGTCTCCCGACAGCTCTCCACCAACACTGCCACTCCGATCTGCAACAACAGTGGTCACACCACAACCACAGCCTCAATTCCCACGTTTCACATCAGGCCATCTCACACAGCTACAACACTTTCGGAGCGACAAACTCCTCCTCCTCCATCATGCTGATCATGAGCTGCAGAACCTACGCATCTTTTGTCCAGCCTCACCACATGGAACACACCCCACCATTTCAAGCCACTCCCACACCTCACCATTGACCAATTACACACTCTTCTCACTACCTCCTTTGCTGCTCACCTACACCGCACATACCCTCGCTCGGGGGTTCAAACAAAATTTTAACATCCCCTATGGACTGGCCTTTCTCAAATACAAGAAACACTGGAGGAAAGGGCGCACTGTGATCACGTATTACAAAATCAGTCGCCGGAGCTATGCTCTTACAGCAACACCCGGGCCAGCTATCAACCCCCACCTTCTGGCAACACCTACATACACATCTCCGTGACACCCCAGATGGCGTTCACCACACTGCCATCAGTGACGTCTTGGTCGGCTTGTTGAACAGCGTCCGCTGGGACGCTGTCGTCAGCCTATGCAACCAACCAATGGAGCCTCCACCACACCGCCGCTACTCTCACCACCGACGTTCACTTCACAGGCAACCCCATTCAACATCATTCAAAACTCTCACATTGGCCGACAGTATATATTCCACCCCCCGAAACGCACCCTCGACATTACCCAAGTCCCGCTGGAAGTTCAACAAGCATTACACACTTGCAGTTTTCCAGGCATGACACTATACTCAACAAATCCAAAGCGCGGGCATTGGCAGTCAACTCACACCAGCACTCTGCAATGCCGCCATCACACTCATTGAACATGCCTGGCTAGAAACATACCACACTTTCCTACAACAACCATCCTTCCACCTCTTCAAAGCACGCTACGTCGACAACAGGTACACCTTACTCAACGACATTCAACGACATCTCACACTCGCTCATCCAAGAGCCCAACGAACACCCAGTTGAGATCGAACCAGTCAAGGATGATCATCTCCTAGGCTTCCACACCGGCCCCCTATCCAGAACAACCATCTTCTAGTTTCCAACCCCCACCTTTGGCAGGTTCGAGACTCACACTCAGCAGGAATCACACATTGCAACAACATACTTTTCCACCAGACACAGCACATTCCACAACTCATGCAACTCTATGTGGCAAAGGGCCAACCTCTTCAGCACATTGCGTTGCAGCACTGCAGCCCCGACGGGGAAAGAGCTCGCACAGCAGCGGTGCAGCTGTGATAAAAATTTATCTAGCTACCTAAACGCTCATTTTGTTGGTGACCGTACAGACTAGCAGGGGGCAGTGGACCACGAGCACTCACTGCCCAACGAAGACAGTGATAGTTTGGCCCCAGAAAAGAAAGGTCAAGTGCCTCACGGTCTATTCATCCACCTTTTGCGTGGCCTTGCAGCGATGTTAGCTTGGGTGCCTTTAGTTTGTTTGGTTTTGGTTTGCGCGTTTTGGTTATCAGCCAGCATCACTCAACAACAAGCCGGAAAAAGAAAAGAGGAGTGCAACAAAGCCAAATTGCACCCCAAAAAACGCTGTTCCAGCAGGCCAATAAGCACCGGAAATAACACACCGTGAATGAGAATAGACCAACACACTTCCGGGTTGAGGACCACTCATGACTTCGTTTGTTCAACCTTTGTCAACAACTTGAACTAGGCGCCGACCCCCTTTTCCAAGTTCTACTGGCATGGGGTCGTTGAACTTGGGTTCATCGAAAAAGGTGAGACACAGATGTGAGGTTCTGGGTGGATCCTGCCCAAGCCGAACGGTTACATCTCTTCGCGAGAAGGCTCTTCACGAGCGAGCTGTGACCACAACCCTTGAAGGGAGAACTGGTAAGAACAAACCAAACCAGTCCCCCCTAAGGAACTCACACTGAGAACTCATTGAGTTCATGACGACAGTTGCTACCGCATCGCCTGTCCACCCGGCGAACCCAGGGTGGGTGGCTGTGGCCAAATTGACCTGGCGGTGCTCGAGGGGCAACTCATCGCCAAGATGGCAAATCGACGATTAATCGGTCAAATATAACACAGACACAGTTGAACACCTCAACGTGCACCTCATGTCCAGTCCAACCTTAGACCAATAGTGGTACAATTACAAGAAGCGCAAGTTTACAAGTTACAAAAGGTAACACTATTTTTGTATCTGTCCACAGGTGAATGCAGACTGAGCGAGTGACATGGAAAAATAACCTCTGCAAAAGGCAGAAAACTACG